GCGGGACTGGCCTAGGGGAAACTTTTAGAGGGGGTTTTAATTATATTTTAATTAGATTAAATTTAAATATTTCCTTTTTAACTAATTTTTAAATTTGTAATGTTATTTGTGTATTTTTACCCGATTGTTAGCCGCCCTGAGTCCGCAAGGAGAAGGGCGGGATATAAATTTAATAAAATAAATAAATAAATAAATAAAATAAACAACAACAACAACAACAACAACAACAACAACAACAACAACAACAATAATAATAATAATAATAATAATAATAATAATAATAATAATAATAATAATAATAATAATAATAATAATAATAATAATAAAGTTGGAAGGGACCTTGGAGGTCATCTAGTCCAACCCCCTGCTCAGGCAGGAAACCCTACACCATTTCGGACAAATGGCTGTCCAATCAATGCAACATATCTTTCCTGCCTTGCACATGCGCAATAGACTGGAGACAGCCTGTCTGGCCTGAGCAGCCACGTGATCTGCCCGGGTCTCTCTGCAGCTTCCTGCACCTGCTGTGTCAATCACAGCCCAGGACATAACAGCTCCCTTTTCCCATACTGGTAAATGTATGGAAAAGGGAGGAAAAGTACAATATGGAGGTGGTGCTAGAAGGAAATGAGCTGACTACTTGATACACTGGAAAATTACCTAGAGGCTGAGAAGTCATGATAGACAGCATTGGATGTACTTGTACTGCAATTGGTGCACTGCTTTCATAACCAATACCCAAACAAACCCCATTCTTGGTAACTACTAGCCTTCCAGGATTAGGCATTGGCCAATATGAGCAGGACAATTTCTTTTATGAGTAGACTAGAGGACACCTCAGGGATATCAAGTTGGGGGACATGGAAGAGACCAAGTAGTGGGCTTGGGAAATAACTGAGATACTTCCACATCAGGCATACAGATTATGGGGGAGGGGAAAGACAATCAGATTTACAATGAAGAGTGGCAACGACCTTTACAGGCACAGTTACTGGATACCTTGTGCCATTTTGGGAGTTACTGACAGAAGATAGGAATGACTCAACTACCACTTCAATCTCACAGCCCACAACCAATTTTCTCTGAGAACTTGAGAGAGGCAGATAAGACTGAAGGGGTAAGACATTGGGAGACCAGGCAAAGAGTTGCTGCCTAAGAAATGGTCAGATAAGAGCTAGCATAGACCACAGCTGCATAGAGGGTGGAGTAAGAGGCTCAAAAGGGACTGTCCCTAAGTTATTGGGTTGTAAAAATGTCAGCAAGAGAATTTTACTTTCAGACTTCCAAGATGCTGCTAATGTAGCTTTACAGTAAAGTAGAATTAGATTACTGGATTTGTGTTTCTTGTCTGGTCTACCTTGTTATGGCTGATAGAAAATAAGAAGGACATATTAAGATGGAATAAATTAAAATTTTCACTGTTGGGGATAATCTTTATGAATATTTTGCCAAGAATTATGTTTTTGGTTCAGACAATGCCTGTTTTATAAATGATACAACTGATGTATCATTTAAATAATGGCAAAAAGATATATCGAACTTTATATAGCAGGGAAAAAACACAAAATAAATATAAAGTTTAACAAGCTGAAAATGAAAGAGATGGACTGGCTTTTACTGGATTTGAAATTCTATTTTGCTGCTCATTGTTTGGTCTCGATGAAAGAGTGGATGTTGCTGAGATTTTTACAGTTAGAAGGTCATAACCTGAAATTTGGGTGCCATGATATTCATAGTATACTGAAATTAAAATTAATGTGAACTTTAAAAAACATTTTATTAGATGTGCCGTATTGAGAATATGGAATAGATAAAAATGTAGGTTTTATTTGAAAGCACTTTTATAAATCTCAGCTCAAGAACATATCATAGAAAAGAAACAGTAGACAAAGACAAATGTTGACGTACTATGTATTATTGGAAAATTATCAAGGGGAATCAAGAGAGAAATTCGTAAGAGAATGATATCATTGGTAATGACTTTCTCATTTCCTTTTATCAGAAAAATGCAAATTTGATAACAAGACTTACAGTATGGAGCAAAGTAAGACAAAATTTGTACAATTATATAGTGAAGATGGACATGTAAAATTCCCTTCCCTCAAGCAAAGTTGCAAGGCTCCTCTTTTATTGAACTCTTTTATCAAAATGAAAACTTATTTATCAGTTTTAAGTATACTTGTATTTAGCATGATTTGTACATAGCATTCTCTGATCAATTTAATTTTGTCAGTTGAGCCCACAATACTTGCTGATGTCATCAATCCATCTTGTTTTAGATCTCTTTTGTAGACACTTTTTATCAAGTGGGATCCATTCTTTGGCTGCTTTGGTACACCTGCCATTAGTTCTTCTTGCTATGTAACCAGCCCATTTCCATCTCAATTCTTTTACTCTCTTGATAATATCATATATTTTTGTTTGTTACATGCTCTCATACAGCATGGTAACAGTCTCAGAATGTGACATAAAATGGAGAAAACACTAGCCTTAAATAGCAATTGTTATAAAAAAGAAATGTTGATTTAAGGCAATCATGTGACTTCTTTCTAGTATGTAATAAATATGTTTATTTAAACATGCCAAGTTTAGTGTCTAAGTAGTTTCTGCTGGGTTTCATCCAGGGAGTCTGACAATGTCATTTGACTAGTCATAGTGTAGCTGGAAAAGGTATGGTAGCTTGGGTGGTAAACAGATTTGCTTAAAAAAAATGGATCCATGAATCCTATCAGTAACATGATCCTCTTTTTTTGTTAATTTGTATGTTTTATTACTGGTTGCCAATTATTTTAGAACAGTGGCTTTCTGAAAACAGCATGAGCTTAGTAGAGAGGCAATTAAACATGATAACTTTTCATCTAATCTAGAAATCATGAGTGTTTTATAATGACTACCTGTCAAGCATCTTAAAAAAATTAGAATTGGTTTTAAGCACATATTGAAGGGTCCTGAACCTCCACATGCATTAACTTTGTTTTGAAATTGCACCCCATTTTGAGAGAAAGCCATCTTTGGACATTTTGACTTAATATTCAGTATAATAAAGAAACATTTCCCAGATCTCTCTTTCCCTTAAAAATATTCTTTCATTCATAAATTGATTTCTTTGATGTTGGTTCATTTAAAAATGGCATTTATTAGCCAGATTGGAATAATAAGTATTTACACATGAGAAAACATTTTTTCACAATACTATAGAGAAATAAAACTGTAATTATTGCAATTTTCTCTCCATATATAATTAGCAGTACTATTATTAATTCTGAATTCTGGTTGCACTTAAAGCCCTCATATGGAATATTTATGCAATAAGCAAGAATAAAATTTAGTATTTATGAACAATCTCTGGCTGTTCCCATTCAGAGCTAGACTCTAGTTATAGCTAAATGCTATGAGAATAATTCCTGGTAATTAGGACTTGTTTTTCAGAGTTTCAGAAGAAATTAAGTATTGTGAGGAGTGGGTGACTGCATAGTTCCTTCTTGTGTAACCTTGAACATTCTAAAGCTTTATCCAACAAATTCTATTAGGGACATATGTTTGGCATAATTATCTTCATAGTTTTGCTTATGTTCTTATCTGATATGGTTTACAAGTCTGACATGAAAAATTGCAAGGTTAATGATCCCCTCCCTATTCTTCACAATTATTTCCAGTCTGGTGATCTCATCATGGGTGCTATTACTTCTCTTGTCCTCATGCCTCCAGATCCAGCTACCTTTACTGAAGATCCCCATCATTCATTTATAAGAGAACCCATGTAAGATTTTTATATAATAATGTTTAGTATTCCAGATTGTACTCTAGAATAACAATCCCCAAAGCAATAGAATTAGTTACGGGGTGAAATAAGTAAATTTTCCAGGTGAGCCATTAATGAGATGATGAATTTTTTTTATTCTTCATTTTCACTGGACTTCTGAAAAGAATTATATTAGCTGATTTATTATTCCTAGCACGAAATAGATTAAACAATGAGTTTGCTAATTGAAGTCTTTCTCACTTAACTAACTGATTGGATTTGGTATAGGAATAGCAATGTTTAAGGAAAAGGCCAGCAATTTTTATTCAAAAAGAATTCAAAACAAAGATGTACTGAAACTTGAAAAAAATGGTTAGTTCTAAAAATGGTTTTTATATTAAAACCCTCTTTTTAATTTATATTATACATCATCCTCTTAGTGCATGTACATTTACTATCTATTATCTATAATGATAAAAAGTGATATTGAAAGGCATCTTAGACAGTAAAATATTTATATTTTTGTTAAAAATTAAAGTGTATTTTAATACATATTTAGATTAATATAAGGACTGTTAGATTAATATAGATTCTTAAAAACATTTATAGTTCAATAACAATAAAATGGCACACTTCTCTCTCTATAAAAAACATAGATTAATGACATTATTTGGTACCTTCACATGGCAAATATTTTCATCATGCCTCCACCTTTCAAGACCTTATCAATGGGACTGCAGCTATTTAACAATTTCACTGTGCTGAACTCAAAATGCCAGCAATAGGCAGAAAATATAATTAGTCATTGAGTTGACTTTCTTAAGAAAGACTATGGGACTTCAAAATGCATATCTTTCTCTTCATCTACTAGAATTACAAAAGTAAAGCAAAGCAAGCAAACAAACAACAGTGTAGAACCCCAAAATGGCAATGGCCAGAAAATGTGACTTAAACTTAGAAACAAGGCAATATTATGAGAAATGTGAACTAATCCTGTGTCAATTGAGTGACATTCTGATTTTGTGATAAAGTGTATTCCATTGGCATGACAGATAAAGTGTTGCATTCAGAAATAGAATGGTTTGATGGATCATACATTTGTTGCAATATTTTTTGTTAGATATAGAATGTATCTTATAATGCTTTTTTTATTGCAGAGTCCAGACTAAATTTTATCAGCATATTTTAGCTTTAATATTTGCTGTAAAGGAGATCAATGAAAACCCTCAGATCTTGCACAACATCACCTTGGGTTTCAATATTTTTGACAGCTACGATGGGACATGGACTTATCATGCCACAATGAACCTTTTTTCACCATTGAAGAGAATGATTCCAAATTATAAATGTGGCTTTCAGAACAACCTGATTGCAGTCATTGGAGCTCTTTATTCTGAAACTTCTGTTTACATGGGAGATATCTTGAAAACCTACAAAGTTCCACAGGTAAGAGGTGTGATGAGTCACGATATCATATTATGTCATTTTGATCTTTTTACATTTCTGTAACTTGGAAATCTTATAAGAATAAAGTATATAAGTCAATAAAAGATAAAATTTTAAAAAAATCATTGCAGAAAATAAGCCACTAGTGTAATCATAAAATATTCAGTGAATTAAGGATATTTATTTAAAAGTGGAACTATTCACAATAAGCAAGATTAATAAAAAAAGTTCATAAATCACATTTCCTGGTCATAGATATAATAAAATATTTGTTTTCTTAGAGAGAAGCTAAGAAAAAAACTTTCATTCTTAAACAGCAGCACCTAATTATATTTCTCACATTTTTTTTCTTCAAGTTATAGGATTTTATCCTAAAAAGGAAGCTTCCTGAGAATTTTTTAATTACAGAAAAGGCTAAAACGCCTATCTGGAGATGATAGATAGATAGATAGATAGATAGATAGATAGATAGATAGATAGATAGATAGATAGATAGATAGATAGATAGATAGATAGATAGATAGATAGATAATTTAAAAAACCACAAAATGTAATTTTAAATTGTGTATACAATGACATTTTTAATTTAAATTTAAATGTTAGGAAATTTTAGTCCACCAATTATTTCCATGGGGGAAAAATATTAATTTCCTTCCATTCTCTAAATTTCTACTTCTTTTTTTTTTTTACTCCTGTAGATTATATATGGATCACATCCAGAGATGCCCGATCAAACTGAATCTTTTTCCTTCTATCAAATGGTCCCTGATGAAAGTTATGAATACAAAGGTCTGCGTCATCTACTTTTGCACTTTGGATGGACCTGGGTTGGGATTCTTGTAAAAGAAGATGACGATGGAAGATTTGTGAGAATGACATTTTCAACGTTTCCTCTTCATGGCATTTGTATTGCCTTCCTTAAAAAAATAAGACCAATTTATATCAGTAGTATTTCTGAGGATCTAGAATGGCTAGCAGAAATATATCATTTTTCAATGAACAACAAAGCCAAAGCAATAATTGTCTATGAAAGAACACTTCTGCATTTGAGGTTACTACTACACCTTCCTAAAATGGAACTAGTGTCTTTAGAGCCTAAAGGTAAGGTGTGGATCATGACTTCTCAGATGGATCTTGCATCAGTGTTTTACCAAAAGAACTGGGACATTCAAGACATCCATGGTTCCCTGTCCTTTTCAGTTCACTCCAGTGAAATTCCAGGATTTCAGGACTTTCTCCAGGCAAGACACCATTTCTCATCAAAGGAAGATGGCTTTATCAATGATGTCTGGGTACATGCATTTGACTGTTCCTTTCCCAATCCTTTGGTAAATGATAAAGATAGTGATATTTGTACTATGAAGGAGAAACTAGAGGACCTGCCTGGGACTTTTTTTGAAATGAGCATGACTGGCCATAGTTACAATATATATAATGCAGTATATGTTATAGCTCATGCTTTTCATGCCCTGCAGATTGAGCAAAAACAAGAAAGAAACCTGTACAGAGGAAAACAAAATCTTCAGACTCAGCATTCATGGCAGGTATAGACTTGAACTGTCATTCTTTAATCTATTCAATGTCTTTATAGATGTATATAGATCGCTTAGTTTACTCAATAAATTGATGTTAGAGTTATTATACTTCTGATTTCCAGTACAATTTCATAGACATACAAATTTACTAAGATACATACAAATTTCTGCACATTTCAGGAACCAGAAATGGACATTTTTCCTATTTTTGAACCTCAAGAAAGTTCCAAAATGGTTTTTAGTAGTTTAATGAAATACAGTGAAAATACCTATAAAAAAGCAGAATATGTACAAATATAAAATCAAGACAAAAATATTGGTAATAATAATAATAATAATAATAATAATAATAATAATAATAATAATAATAATAATAATAATAATAATAATAATAATAGTAATAATAATAATAATAATAATAATAGTAATAATAATAATAATAATAATAGTAATAATAATAATAATAATAATAATAATAATAATAATAATAATAATAATAATAATAATAATAATAATAATAATAATAATAATAATAATAAAGTTGGAAGGGACCTTGGAGGTCATCTAGTCCAACCCCCTGCTCAGGCAAGAAACCCTATACCATTTCAGACAAATGGCTGTCCAGTCTCTTCTTAAAAACTTCCAGTGTTGGAACATTCACCACTTCTGGAGGCAGGTTGTTCCACTGGTAAATTGTTCTAACTGTCAGGAAGTTTCTCCTTAGTTCTAGGTTGCTTCTCTCCTTGATTAGTTTCCACCCATTGCTTCTTGTCCTGCCTTCAGGCACCTTGGAGAATAGCTTGACTCCCTCTTCTTTGTGGCAGCCCCTGAGATATTGGAATACTGCTATCATGTCCCCCCCTCATCCTTCTCTTCATTAAACTAGACATAGCCAATTCCAGCAGCCTTTCCTTATATGCTTTGGCCTCCAGTCCCCTAATCATCTTTGTTGCTCTTCTCTGTACTCTTTCTAGAGTCTCAACATCTTTTTTACATCGTGGTGACCAAAACTGGATGCAGTATTCCAAGTGTGGCCTTACCAAGGCATTGTAAAGTGATATTAATACTTCACGTGATCTTGATTCTATCCCTCTGTTAATGTAGCCAAGCACTCTGTTGGCCTTTTTGGCAGCTGCAGCACACTGCTGGCTCATATTTAAGTGATTGTCCACTAGGACTCCGAGGTCCCTCTCACAGTTACTACTATTGAGCATGGTACCCCCTATACTATACCTGTACATTTGGTTTTTCTTGCCTAATTGTAGAACCTTACTTTTTTCACCATTGAATTTCATTTTGTTAGATAGCGCCCAGTGTTCAAGTCTGTCCAGATCCTCCTGTATCCTAAGCCTGTCTTCTGGAGTGTTGGCTATTCCTGCCAGCTTGGTGTCATCTGCAAATTTGATGATTTCCCCATCTATCCCCTCGTCCAAATAATGCACATTCAGAGAAAGAATACATTGAAAATCAATTCAATTGGACAATTTTCTATAATATAAGTGGACTATTATGTGGCATTTGATTTTTAAAAGATCCCCAACACATTCTAAAACTTGATTCATTCAAAAGTCTGCCCAAAAAAAGTAATACCCAAGCTGAAACCTTAACCTATTCCCTCTATCAGTTATAGCTCAGTATTCCATGATGTTAGCTCTTTCATAATCTGAAAGGTTAAAATTGTTTAATAGGAAGTTGCACTCATGAAAATTAAGAACTGATCTATACTTGATACCCATCAAGTTTCCTTAAGCTTCTTCTAATCTTCTGTGAGGCTTCTTAGAAAACAGATAGTCCTTTCAAGCCAAGATATCTATGCTTTCAGAAATTATTCCATATTGTCAATTTTCATTAGAAGACAGGAAGTGTTTCATTTGATATGCATTAAAAAATGTTAGGGTACTGTAGACTATCTTGGAACCATATTTTTTTTTTAATGAAAATGGAATCTTTAAGAAAATTGCAATGTTGTTCAGGGAAAAATATAACCCTATAGAATATTGGAAGTTTCTTAATGAGATGCTTTTACATATCAGGGAATTTTATTCATTAATGACATTCTGACCAATTTTTGTGTATTATTTGATTCAGCTCCACCAGTTTCTAAAAAGCATTGCATTTAATAACAGTGTTGGGGATGAGATTTTGTTTGATCAGAAGAGGGAACTGATAGTTGGATTTGATGTTATCAACTGGGTCACCTTCCCCAACCAGTCCTTCTGTCGAGTGAAAGTTGGGAAACTGAATCCCTCGACTTCTGAGGGCAAAAAGGTCATCATTCACGATGAAGCCATCACCTGGCATGGAACTTTCAACCAAGTAGGTTCCGAATGTAGGTAATTACATCTAGATGTTATTTAATATACAGGTGGTCCTCAATTCACAACTATTCATTTAGTGACTATTCAAAGTTACAATGGCACTGAAAAATGTGACTTATGACATAAATCCTCCCACTTATAACCATTGAAACGTTCCTCACAATCATGTCATCAAAAATTGGGTGCCTGGCAACTGAGATGTAATTATGATGGTTGCAGCATCCCAGGATAATGTGGACATCATTTGCAACCTTCCAAGACAGCTTCTTACAAGCACTCAATGGAGAAAGCTGGATACACTTAATGACTGTATAATTCACTTAACAACTTCAGTGATTTGCTTAAAAACTATGGGAAAAAAGGTTGTAAAATTGGGCATGATGCACTTAACAATCACCTTGTTTAGCAATAGAAATTCTGGTCCCAATTGGGGTCATAAGTCAAGGACCACCTATATAAATAAAACATAAACATACTACATCTATGCATAAAGCTGAAAAAAATTGTAAGCAACGGCACCAAGGGAACAAGTGACAGAAGTGGCTAGGAGGTCCTTTGCACACCATCAGGTGGTACACCAGTTGCATCTATACCTGGATTGGATTGCCCTGCTCACAGTACCTCATATCTTGTAACCTCTAGATTAGACTATTGTAACACACTTTACAAGGGGCTGCCCCTGAAGACCATTTAGAAACTTCAACTGGTGCAAAATGCAGCTGTATGGATAATAATTGGTGCCATATATCTGGCACACATAACACCACTCCTGAGTCAGCTGCACTTGTTGCCAGTGTGTTCCCAGGTGCAATTCAAGGAGCTGGTGGTTATCTATAAAGCCCTACATGGCTTGGGACCAGGTATCTGAAAGATTGTCTTTTTTCTATAGTCTTTCCCCATCCAACCAGCTAAAATAGAATGGGCATGCTGCACATTCCATCAGCCAAAGAATGTTGGTTGGCAGGGACTAGAATGTTAACTTTTTCTGCAGTGGCCCTTGCTCTGGAGAACATCCTCTCTTCGAATATTACAATGGCTCGAAACCTGTTAGCCTTTCATAACGTTCTAAAAACCTGGTTATGCTCTTGAGCCTGAGATGCTACATGTGCCAAGAACTGTGCCTCCTAGCTAAATGGTTAATGGGCCAGATATCTTACTTTTGTATGTACTTCAATTTTTTTTACTGCTTTGGGGTGGGGCCAGCTGTCAAGAGGAAAGGCTGTGCGGAATGGCTCTCCATCTATGAGAATCGAATACATAGCCTTTTCCATCCGATCGGCAGATTCTTTGGAGTCCCAGATTCCTTGGAGGGGAATCAGAAGAAAGAGGCACCCTGCAGTGCAGCTCACAGTGGCAGTTGAGAGTGTGGATGGCAGGAAAGCCTCAGAGAAGTCGAGCGGGGGAAGAAAGGCGGCCCATAATAGTGGCCGGGAAGAGAAAACAAAAGGCAGCTGGACAACATTAGTGGTGGACTAGCTGGACAACGGAGAGACGGACCTGGGCAAAATGATCCTGGCAACCCTCGGTGAGTAACCCGGGGTGAAGATCTTCTCAGGGGATTGCAAAGAGGGAAGAGTCAGAAGGAGGCCTAAGGAAGGAGGAAATTTCCTCCGTAGTAAAGCAGCGAATAGCCAGTAGAGGCAAAGAAGAGACCATTTCAGCGAATTAAATTTTCACTGGTGGCGTGAGGGAAAAGAGGAAGAGGAAATCTACTATTATTGCTGATGATTTAGTTCGGGAGTGAAAGTGCTGACTAATCAGAGAACGCAGACATGTTGAAGTAAGATTGACTGTTAACTTGGATAATAAGGAGTAAGAGACACCTAGTGGATGAGGGAAAAACTGGTGACAATTTAAGGAAGAAGAGGAAATTTAAAGACAAACAAGACTGATTTCGGATGGCTTGCTAATAATTGACTTATAAATTGAGGAAATTCAAAGAGTAATTTTGGATGCGGGAAATTTAATGGAACAGTTGTAGTGGAACTGTAGTGGAGAAGTTAATTTAAAGCGGTATTAAAAATGACAAGCATCCCAAATTTGACAAAAAATTGGCATAGGAAAGAGGCAAGGAATCCAAACTACAACAATGGAACCAAGTCCAGCAGGGCAAAGATCTACGGAAGGACTTTTACACAGAGAGAGATCAAACTCATTTAAGGATTTACAATAGATGTTACAAACAATACAGGAGGTTATCTTAAAGAACCATGAGGATTTGAAATGAGAGATAGGAGAAGTAAGGAATGACATGGGAGAAATGAAAGAAAAGATGAGATTGATGGATGATAAATTTGAATGCTTTCAGCAACAAATTTTAAAAAATGAACAAAAACTACAGGAGATGGAAGATAGAATGGGAAGGGAAGAAAGAAAAGCGGAGGAGATGGAAGAAAGACTAATCCAAGCTAATAGAGACCTCGAACAGACAATAATCCAATTGGAAATAGACAAGGCTTCCCATTTTCTACGATTTCAGAATGTGTGGGAAGGAAAGAATGAAGATCTTCCGGAGATGATGGTGGAGCTACTGGCAGGAACTCTAGGAACTGGGAAGGAAGAAATGATTAAGGAAATGGATGAAATCTATAGAATTCACACAAATGACACACGTAGACATAATTTACCTAGAGAAGTGCATATTAGATTTGCTAAAAAATCGACTCGCAATGAGATTCTTCATAGGACTAGAGAAGATCCACTAGAGTTACGAAGAAGACAGCTTGTGGTGCTCAAACAAATCCTGAAAAGGGTAAGAGACCTAAGGCGACCCTACCAAATGTTTACAGCAAAACTAACAAGGAAAAACGTAAATTTTCGGTGGTTGACTCCAGAAGGGATTATGGTATTTTGGGGAGAAAGAAGGTTGAGATTGGACACGGTGGACAAAGTAGAAGAGTTTTACAGAAAATTTTTGATAATGAGACTGAATCGGAGGAAAGAGAAAGAAGGGAAGAAGGAGAACCAGTAGAACAGTTACCAAATAGGGGGGAATCCTGAATACAGGAAAAAGAAAACGGGGAAAGAGAGAATGTGACACTGGAATTGACAATGATGGTGGACATAAGGATTACAAAGAAATTAGACAAACGAGGGCAACAAACCCTAAGTATAAATAGAGGTTTTCAAGAGGCATTAGCAGTTCTATCATTAAATGTTAATGGGTTAAATTCTCCAGGGAAAAGGAATTTTTTTTAAAGTAAATTGTATAAGTCAAATGTGGATATAGCAGTGTTGCAAGAGACGCACATAAAACAGCAGCATCAATGTTTGTTAAAATGTTCCAAGTTAGGAAAGATGTTTATATCTTCATCGCAACAGAAGAAAGGGGGAATTGTAATGTATGTAAAAGAGGGTATCTTGGCCAAACAAGTGTATAAAGATGAGGAGGGCAGAATATTGATAATAGAATTAACTGTGGATGGGAAAAAACTGATGTTAGTTGGAATATACGTGCCTAATGAGGCTCAAAAACTATTTTATAAGAAATGGTATAACACAATTAGAGACTTAGAATGTAATAATCTGTGTATAGTTGGAGATTTTAATGCGATTGTAGACAGAGAACTAGATTATAGAAATAACAGACGAAAGAAAGGTGTTAGAAGGATATTACCTAATTCATTTTTTGAGATGGTGGAAGAATTAAATATAAACGATTGTTGGAGGGAAAGAAATGGAGATAAGAAACAATATACTTATTATTCAGGTAGACATCAATCTTGGTCTCGAATTGATATGGTTTGGGCTTCGACAGAGGTGAATTTGGGAATTGAGGAAGTTAATATTGACATAAATTTGTGGGCACACCATAATCCCATTAAAATTAAATGGAAATGGCAAAAAAAAAGATAAGGAGATGGACACTAAAAAGAGCAATTTTGAACCAAAATGAATTTAAATTAAAGATGGATGATCAAATGAGCTTGTTTTTTCAAAGTAACAAGAAAGAAGACACGAACAACCAGAATCTGTGGGACACGGCAAAAGCCTTTATGAGGGGTATTGCAATATCATATATGGCCAAAGACAACAAACAAAAAAGACAACGGCAAAAAAACTTAGAGGAAGATCTTAGTAAACTGGAAAGGGAGTTGCAGAAAGAACCCATAAAATGGGAATTGAAACATCAAATAGATATAATTAAACATAAACTAAATATCATTGAAAAGGAAAATATGGCACAACAAATTAAAAGCATTAAACAAATTTTTTTTTGAAAATGCAAATATACCGGGAAGATGGCTGGCTTAGAGACTAAGGAAACGAAAAGAAAAGAACCAGATTAGCAAATTATATAATGAAGAAGGAGAGTTAATTTACCAAAATGAGGAAAAGAGGAATAGCGTATAAGTTCTTTAAAAACCTTTATGAGGATAAGGAGAAGGTAGAAGAAGGCAAGATGGTGCAATACCTTAAAAAAAAAAAACAGATTTGCCCAGAATCTCAGAGGAAGGTAAAATTTATTAAATAATGAGATAACAGCAAGGGAGATATCTGAGGCAATTAAAAAACAAAAAAGTAACAAAACACCAGGCCCAGATGGTCTACCTTCAGAAATCTATAAAAATCATCAGGAAATATTAAGCCCACTGCTATTAGAGGTGTACAATGATGTACTGAATAAAGCCAAGATACCTGAAACATGGAAAGAAGCAACAATCACATTGATTCCCAAAGAAAATTGTGATTTGACTTATATTAAAAACTATAGGCCGATATCCCTACTAAATTTGGATTATAAAATATTCATGACAATTATGGCAGATAGACTAAAGAAAATTTTAGAGAATTTTATTCATACTGACCAAAATGGCTTTCTTCCCGGATGGCATATAAGGAATAACATTAGGATTATTTTGGATAATCCTAATAATAATCATAACGAAAAACAGATGGTGTTGATATTCATTGATGCGCAAAAAGCATTTGACAACGTCAAATGGGATTTCATACTAGAACAATTAAAATATATGGATTTTGGGGGGAAATTTATAAAGATGTTCCAAACAATTTATTCCAGACAAGAAGCCAGAGTGGTGATAAATGGGGAAACGACAAAGAACTTTTTAATTCAAAAAGGCACTAGGCAAGGTTGTCCACTATCTCCACTGCTTTTTATCTTATCATTAGAGATTTTAATAAGAACAATTCGAGAAGACAAACAAATTAAAGGTTTAAAAGTAAGAAAAGAAAGTTTTAAGGTACAGGCATTTGCGGATGACCTTGTATTTATTATTGAAGAGCCTGTACAATCTGGTCTTAGGCTGATGGAAGTGCTGGAGGACTATGGAGAAGTAGCAGGCCTGAAAATAAATAAGGATAAAACAAAAATGATAATTAAAAATATGACTAAAGAGCAAAAAAAAAAAAAGAATTGGAGGGAAGGATAAATATGCAGACTACGAAAAAAATAAAATATTTGGGAATCCAATTGACAGCGAGATGCATCACTCTGAAAGAAGACAATTATGAAAATTAATGGTGCAAATTAGGTCTGATTTGGAAAATTGGGGAAAACTACAGTTATCTTTAATGGGTAGGATAGCCACCATTAAAATGAATGTTCTTCTGAAAATGTTGTTTCTATTTCAATGCATACCAATTCGGCTTAAAAAGGATTTTTTTACAAATTTGGATAGACTCATTTCAAAATTCATATGGCAAGGGAAACGACTGAAAATCAGATTAAAACTATTATAAGAAGCTAGAGAAAGAGGAGGATTTGGCCTACCAGACTGGACAAAGTATTATCAGGCAGCGGCGTTGGTCTGGCTAAGCGAGTGGATGCATCTCAAAAATACAAGATTATTAGCACTAGAAGGTCATGACCTACAGACAGGGTGGCATGCTATTTTGTGGGAAGAAAGATATTTAGCCTAACAATACTTCCAGAAGCATTATATTAGGAGAGCACTATTGGATATCTGGAAAAAAATAAAAAGAAATAATTATACGAAAATCCCCAACTGGGTGTCTACATTAGAAATGTACACACATCCAAATTTGATAAAATGTGGGGGTGCTGTCACCTATAAAGATATTTTGAATGAGAAAGGAGAATTAAAAGCAAGAAATACCTTAAAGGAAGAAGGAATTGATTTGGAATGGTAGGCGTATCTTCAAATCCAATCCAAATTTAATAAAGACAAAAAGGAACGGGGCATAAAGCAAGACTCTTCAGAATTAGATAAAATCTTATTTAGTAGAGAAGGCAAGACTATAAGTAAACTATATCGATATTTATTAGAGCAAGATATGATTGAGGAACAGGTGAAAGAAACAATGATAATTTGGTGTAAATATTTTGGGCACAATATTGATTTGGATAATTGGTAAAGTTTATGGGAAAAAAATCTAAAAATTACTCTAGCAACCTCCTATAAGGAAAACCTCTATAAGATGTTTTATAGGTAGCACCTCCCTCCCACAAGATTAGCACAAATGAACAAGGGGAAATCCTCGATATGCTGGAAGTGTGGAGAGACCGTTGGGAATTACCACCACATGTGGTGGCAATGCCCAAAGGCACAAAATTTTTGGAACTTATTAAAGAAATTGCTGGAAGACATTTTGCTAATAGATATAGAGGCCAAACTGGATTTTTTTTATTGGGAATAATAGAAAGAAAATATAAGAAAGATACAAATTATTTACTACTGCATATAGTAACAGCGGCACGAATAGCCTTCGCTCAAAAATGGAAAGAGAAAGATAGTCCAACCGAAGAGGAAATATTACTGAAAATCTTCAATTGCGCTGAAATGGATAGACTTACATAGGAACTCTAGGATAAAAGTGAAACTAAGTACTACAAAATCTGGGAACAATTTTATGATTGGATAGACAATAAGAGGGTAGCCAAGACAAATGTATAGTTTAGAATAAAATATAGATTATAGACAAATGTATATTTAAAAGATAAATAGATATACAGAAATAAGGGGAAAAGTGTTAATATTATATTATAAATAGTGAGCAACGCTCAAGAACTATATGTCTATATGAGTACTAATATTACTGTAAAGTGATGGAAGATGTATGGAACCAATGATGTCATATCTATGTCCAATGTGTTTTTAATTTTGTATTATTAATAAAAAAAATTATATATATTATTGTTTTAATGCTTTTTACTGCTTTTATTGTTTTAAAGTATTTTTTAAAATTAATTGTAATATATGTTTTGAATTGTGAGCTGCCCAGTCATTTGCTGAAATGGGCATATATAGAAATCAATAAAACAAATTGTACGGTTTCTACATGGAAGCCTTCCCCTCATATGGGAACTATGATGGAAAAAAACGGATTTTACAATAGTGGCAAATATCTATAGCTTGGGTGTAGGATGAGGGTGAAAGTTTGTTCTCTGAGCTTGTGGGTTGGTTCCTAAATGTTTCATTATCAGGGTAGGTAATATGTTACCTAGCCTGGTAACAAAACCTTCAGAAACCAACCCACTAACTCAAAGAACAAACCTTTAACCTCAAAAAAGATTTTTTTTTGCTTGTAACCTTTACTTCTAAAATCTCTTCCATGTGTACATGTGTAGGTATATGTTTCTTTGTATGATGTTTGTCAGAAAAATATTGAAGATGGTGTGCTAATTAATGTATCTACATGATTTACAGAGTAATAACAATATTTGTAGTTCAGAACTGTGGAATCCTTGATGCTCTCTGAGCTTGTTTTTTTCTGTAGATGTTTCATTACCCAACTATGTAACATCAGTATGCCCTGAAGATATTACCTAATTAAGTAAGGAAACATCTATAAGAAAACAACCAAGCTCCAAGGGCAGCAAGAGAGAGTTGAACTTTTTAAAAAGTTGCCTGCTACTGTTATTGAGTTTTTAGATATATCAATTGCTTGGTAAATTGGTTACTTCTTCATTGTAGAATCAATAGCCATATGATATTTTATATGTACATGTTCACTATATGCAAATAACTTGTAAGAATGCTAATAGATTTATTTTTTTCTTATTTCTGGGCCAGACACTACCTATTTCTCTGTGTACTAAGAGCTGCCTCCCTGGTAATTTCAGGAGAAAGCAAGAGGAAAAACAATTTTGTTGCTATGATTGTCTTCCATGTCCTAAAGAGAAAATGTCAAGCCTGATTGGTAAGAGATATTATGAAATAAAATCTTGTGACTCTGCAGGATATACCAAACAGATCCACCAACACATAAGTATGGAAATTGGCTTATATTATTTTATGGGTAGTCCTCAACTTACAACCACAACTGAGTCCAACATTTCTGTTGCTAAGTGAAACAGTTAAGTGAGTTTTGCCCCATATTATAATCTTTGTTGCCATAATTGTTAAGTGAATTTTGCAGTTGTTCAGTTAGTAAGTGAATCTGGCTTGCCCATTGACTTTGCTTGTCAGAAGGTTGCAAAAGGTGATCACATGATTCTGGAAAATTGCAAGAGTCATGAATATGAACCAATTGCCAAGCATCAAAATTTTGATCATATTTCCATCGGGATGCTGCTACAATCGTAAGCATGAAAAATGATCATATGTCCCTTTTTCAGAGCCATTGTAACTTTGGTCATGGTTGTATGAGTGGTTGTATGTATGAATGGTTGTAAGTCAAGGACTATTTGTATTTGTCAGCAGAAGTTGCCCTCTCCACTACCTCTTGAAAAGATAGGAGAAAGGGTTATTGAGGGGATTAAAAGTTTAATTTCCTTGGCCTGTATTACATGAATTGGGCACCTCAGCCTTCTCATTATGTCACACCAGCCATATCAATTCAATTGATAAAACAAAGCACATCAATTTACCTTTCACAATATTTGCTTTAAGGGACTGGAAAGGCTTGGGATACTTTTTTTTCAGTAGTTTAAAGATAAACCAATCTTTCACCTTTCCTTCAACAAAAAAATATTTACTTATTTATTTTATTTAGAAAATTTAGATGCTGCCCATTCACTCTCAGTGACTCTGGACGACTTACTGTACAAAAAATAAAAACCCAATATACAATAATAAAAACAATAATCTCCTCATCCCCCTGGTGACAACAATCAGTCAAACAACCCACTTGATGGACTCCATCCCACTCTGGATTCTTCAGGCCTATTGGCAAAACCAGGTTTTCAGGATCTTGTGAAAGTGTCAAAGTGGGGGCTAGGGGATGGTGTTCCAAAGTGAGAGAGCCATCATGGAGAAGGCCCTTCTGGGTCCCACCAGATGTACATCCTTAGGAAAGGAGAGATCAATATTTCTTGTATCCCTGCTCTGGTGGGTCGGGTGGATGTAATCATAGAGAAACAGTCCTTCAGATAACCTGATCCCAAGCTTTAAAAGGCTTTAAAAGTGACAATATGTACCTTAAATTGTACTCGGAAGCAAATTGGCAGCCAATGCATCTCCTGGAGGAGAGGTGACACATGAGCAGGGGGTTGGACTCAATGACCTCCAAGGTCCCTTCCAACTTTATTATTATTATTATTACTATTACTACTACTACTACTACTACTACTACTACTACTACTACTATTATTATTATTATTATTATTATTATTATTATTATTATTATTATTATTATTATTATTATATGGATACCTGGCCTCACAAAACCATATAGGATTCTATGTTTTGAACCAATTGGAGTTTCCAGACACTTTTCAAGGGTTGTTCCATGTAGAAGTACCAATGACAAGATCCACTTGTGCCTCTCAATAAATGTATTTGAGAGTTTTTCTCTTCCAAAAAGTTCTAAATTATGAATCAAAAGCAAAAATAAAATCTAGGAAAATCAAGGTTTTATTTTTTTACACATATCTGCCTAAGATGTGTAATACAAGAATATTATCTACAATTGATCAACTATCTCTGAATTCTGTCTCCCCAACATAATATTTTCATTTTCCTGTAGGTTTTGGGATTACATTTTAAGTGTTTGCTCGATCTGTCCAATCAAATTCTTCTTCACGCATGGAAGTCACAGTTTAAAGCTTTGCATGTGGACTCTAATAAAAATTTGAATAAAAACAATATAGAAATAAAGTGGATACTTATTTTTGGTCATCTTATCAGAAATCATATTAATAGAGTCTTTGGAATTAAAACATATGCTATTAATTATATTTTATCCCAATTAATTAAAATGGAATTTATCTGATCCCCCCATTATTAGCCTCCTAATTTTCATTAATTGACCAGTATCCCAAAAGTTGGAAGACAGCAATAGTAGTATACAAAGACAAACTGAAAATATTGGTGCCAGCTATAGATGAAGGAAAGACACTGAAAAATTATATGTGATAAGAAGAGTAATGGAATTATAATAGAGGAATAACAGATTATTATTTTTTTAAAAAACTCTTACAGACATGGATGATTGTTCTGGATGCCCAGAAGACCAATATACAAGCATGGACCAAGATTCATGTATTCCAAAGAGAATATCTTTCTTATCCTATAAAGAACCAATGGGAATAAGTCTAGTTATTTTGGCACTCTTTTTTTCCTTTTGTACAATTTTGGTGCTGTCAGCATTTTTGAAATATCACCATACTCCCATTGTCAAGGCTAATAATCAAAATCTCACCTATGTTCTACTCATCTCCCTCCTCCTCTGCTTCCTTTGCTCACTGCAGTTCCTCGTTGCACCAGGCAATATAATATGTCTCCTCCGACAAATTAGCTTTGGCATCATCTTCTCAATGGCTGTGTCTTCTGTGCTGGCTAAAACCATCACTGTAGTTTTGGCTTTCATGGCCACCAAGCCAGGATCCAGAATGAGGAAATGGGTAGGAAAACGGTTAGCCACCTCCATTGTTCTGTCTTGTTCCCTGATTCAAGCAGGCATATGCATTGTATGGCTGTTCACATTTCCTCCTTTTCCAGATGTTGACACCCATTCAGAAATTAAGGAAATGATACTGCAGTGCAATGAAGGTTCAGCTACCATGTTCTACTGTGTCTTGGGCTACATGGGCTTTCTGGCAGCTGCCAGTTTCATAGTAGCTTTTTTCTCCAGGAAGCTTCCCAGTAGTTTCAATGAAGCCAAATGTCTTACATTTAGCATGCTAATTTTCTGCAGTGTGTGGCTCTCCTTTGTTCCATCCTACCTCAGCACAAAAGGCAAATATATGGTGGCTGTGGAGGTTTTCTCCATTTTGGCCTCTAGTGCTGGGTTGTTGGTTTGCATATATTTCCCCAAATGTTATGTAATAATTTTTAGGCCAGAACTAAACAACCGGGAGCAACTAATTAAAAGACAATATTAATAATGTAAATAAAAATATGTATTTCTATTATTTTTCATTTTCAATATCTTTTCTTTTAAATTTCCATTTTTAATCATTTATATTTGTATATTTTGGAATCTTTTGTCATGTATTTGTTGAATACAAAGTTCTTGGAAGCTTTCTACCTTAGAATATGTTTTTACTTTAGAATAGTTTCACACATTTTTCCCCAATATTTTATTTTTATCAGGGTAAGAGAAAACAAGGATAATTATAGGTAGTAGAATTCGGGATAGAGTTCAAGGAAGGAATTGGGGTAGGGATGGGTACAATGATGGGGTTGCCCCCAATAACATTCCAAGCTTTAGCAAGCAAACTATTGTCCGGATACAAGTATTTGACAGGATTAATTAGTATCATAATAAGTAACAGTAGTCAAGAAAAATAATAAAAGTTATAAAACATATCAGTTAATCAAAAAGAAAAGTCAATCATCTTAATAAGTTTCACAAGCAGTTTTTGTTAACTTGTTTTGCTAACCATTGATAAAAAATTTCCCATGTTTTAAAATAGTCTGAGTCTTCTTTCTCTTTAATCTTTAACGTTAATCTGTCCATTTCTGCACAATCTAGAATTTTCCTAATTATAATCTCATCAGATGGTAAATCTTCATTTTTCCAGTATTGGGCAAATACTATTCCCGCGGCTGTTAATATATGTAATATTAAATACTCATTCTTTTTCCCATAATTACATTCTAGTATTCCTAACAAAAACAATTCTGGCTTAAATTCTATCTCTGTTTTAATCATCTTTTCCAGCCATGTCTGGATCTTAAACCAAAATTTCTTTGCACTAGGACATACCCACCAGATGTGATAATAGGTACCTGGCTTTTGTTTACATTTCCAACAATTATTCGAAACATTTTTAACCATTTTCGCTAACCTTACTGGTGTCATGTGCCATTTATAAAACATTTTATACAGGTTTTCTTTATATGAAGTTGTTTTAATCAATTTAATATTTCTGTCCCATAACTTTTGGCAAGCTTCTAAGTCTATAGAGTGTCCGAAGTTTTTTGCCCAAACTCAGATAGTTTCACACATTGATGCTTTCCTTCTCCCATTTTCTCCTTTGCCACTAATGCAAAACCTTTCTTGTTTCCCCATATGCCTCCATTGTAGTCTGATGCAATAATGAAGAATTTATCTTGAGCTTTACAGCACTAAAGCATCAATGTTCCTACATTACAACTTGTTATTCTTCTACACTATTGTTAGATGAACAACCATAAACATTATTTAAATGACTAAATAAAATAAATCAGTCTAGCCACTATATGCATCTGTTAAAGTGAGATGCAGTTCATGAAACCTGATGCCTTCAATAAACTTTATCCTATTAAGCTCCTTATCATTTGCTTCTTAAACCTAGTTGCTTCTCCTGGTCTTAGGAAGGTGGGACTTGAGAATGTGGGATTCTCATGGTGATGTAACTATCACATTGTCAGGTTTGAGGCAGTAGATTTAGTGGACTCCATTAGGGCCATCTCTGATGAAATATATGAAACTACTAGGGGTAATTATCAGAGAGAGTTGCTCTAGATTCCATGTAGATGCAAATGACTAGATGCATATTCCAAGTGGAATACTGCATCCAGTTCTGGTCAACACAATATAAAAAGATTTTGAGACTCTGGAATGAGTGCAGAGAAGTGCAGCAAGAATGATTAGGAGGCTGGAGGCTAAAACATATGAAAAAATGGTTACAGAAATTGGGTATGTCTAGTCCAATGAAAAGAAGGACTAGGAGTGACATGATAGCACTGTTCCAATATTTGAGGGGCTCCTACAAAGGTGAGGGAGTTAAACTATTTTTCAAAGTACCAAAAGGCAAGACAAGAAGCAATGGTTGGAAACTAACCAAGGAGAGAACCAACCTAGAGCTGAGACATTTCCTAACTGTGAGAGCAACCAACCAATGGAATAGCTTGCCTTCAGAAGTTGTGTGTGCTCTATCACTGGAAACTTTCAAGAAGAGACTGGACAAACATTTGTCTGAAATGGTATGGGGTCTCCTGCTCGAGCACAGGGTTGGATTAGAAGACCTCCAAGGTCTCTTCCAACTCTATTTTTCTATGTCCTATGACTCCTTGTTCTTTGTCTTATTTCCATCATTTTCAGAGCTAATCTTCCCCATTAGGGGTGGATTTTTCCTAAACAACCAAATATGCAACTTGGGAGTACTTTTTAAGTTCACTAGATCCATGAGGTTTAGATCACCACATTGATGAAAAGTGCCTGTTCCCAGCTATTACTAACAAGGAGCTCCCATATAGAATACATGTGAATTATCTCACAATCTTCCTTTGATCCAAACAGATTGCATAAACCAGAATCTGCCTTCCAGCTGGTGTTCTAACTGTGATGTCTCTCTATTCTGTCAGAAAGTGTCAGTCTTCCATAATCTCATACTGGAAGCCTTCCAGTAAGTTCAAGGGTGGGATTCAGCCAGTTTGCACCAGTTTGGCAGAACCAGTAGCTAAATTTTGCTGAGTTTGGAGAACTGGCTGAATGCACACTGCTTCCGGAAGTCCGTTTTAGGCCTTGGAGGCCTAGAGGAGACCTCCCAGGCCTAGAACAGCCCAACAGAAGTGCATGGATGCCACTTCCGGAAGTCCATTCTAGGCCTCAGAGGCCCAGGCCTGCATCCAATAAGAGAACCAGTTGTTTAAGTATTTGAATCCCACCACTGAGTAAGTTGTAGCAAGTTGTGTCAAGAATGTGGTGGCCAGTGTCTGTCCGTTTTTTTCATGTAAGCATGGGACACCAGTTTTGACAAAGTTACACTAATTTCATATAATTGCCAAGTCAAATTCAAAATGCTTTTGTTAAAAAATAAATCACTAAATTCTTGACCCTTCTCTATTGAAAAGAATGGTTTCTCTTGGGCTGTGTGATGACCCATGGCCCAGAACAGAGGCAAAGCAGTGGGCTGGCAAGAGAAACAGTCCTTTAATCACTGCAAATGTTCCCCAAAAGCTCCTACATATGCTGGCAAGAGTTCAAACATAGCACACAGACATGTTCCTTTCAGCTGCCTCTGGCTAAAGGCAATTGCAATACAGCCAGGAAAGTTTACAATGTTCTCCAGGCAAGACAGATAATATGAAAACAAAACAAAAACGTAAAGAGTCCTTTTAACTCTCAGCTTGCCTGCAGTCTGCAAGGAGAGACTCAGAAATGCAGGCTGTAGTTGTGAAGCAGGAAACCAACCGGTCCGGAATTCAAAGTGTCCAGGTTAAACAAAGACAAGAGCACAATTCACTATCTCAAGATACCACATTTATTCCCAGCAAATGCCCCACCCCACAGCGTCTCCTTAAATCTTAATCCCCAGGTGTGCCTTGTGGAGTGGGGCGGGATGCTCTCCCCCCCCCGAGCAATTGAGCCTGCCTCGGTTGTTCTCTCCTCCTCTCTGCTCTCCTTGCTCTAGGATCAGGGGTGGGGCTTAGTCCTCACCTGAACTCTGCCTTCCCTGTTCCAAACCTGAAGGGCCCTGTCCTCCCTCAGCCTGCTCCTCCCTACAGTCACCCCCTTCTAGGCCTCAACAGAGAACTCCATATCTTCCTCGGATTCAGGCTTGGATGGAGGCATGAAAGGCTGGGCATCATCTAGTATAATGTTCCATTTGTTTCTGTTAAAAGTTTACAGCTCACCCAGCGCAAAAATAAGCTCAACGATTAAGCACATGTACAAAACACTGAGCTGGAGACATAGTATAGAAAAAACTTCTTTATCTTCAAATATTTAAATATGATACATACATACAGTTTCCATTGGCAACATGGTGGAGAACAACAACAACTAACACAGGAGATCAGGACTCAGGGAGAGACTAAACCACACCCAGACCTAGGCTGGCTCACATGCTTCTCACAGCCAATCCTATGTCTCAGTTAAATAACAGTTTCCATTGGCTGGTTCATTGCTATGGCTATTCCAGTTCATAAGTTCTTACACACTGACGCTCCTCCCTTTATGACTGGAATAGACATAAAACCAAATAACTTAATACTCTTTTCATGGTGCACTCTACTCAATGGCTTGGTCATTACATCTGCCAGATTGTCATTTGAAGAACAGTGAAGCGAGCAAATTAGTTTACTTTTTATGGCTTCTCTGACATTATAATACTTAATGTCCACATGCTTGCTTCCACTTTTCACTTTGTCACCTGTTGCCATTTTAATGCAAGCAGCATTATCTTCAAATACTGTAAATAAATAGCTTCTTTAACTTCTATATTTAAATCCTTTAACAGCTGTACATACCAGGTTACCTCTGAATAAAGTTTAGACAGAGCAATAAATTCTGCTTCCGCAGTAGAAATAGCTACAGTTATTTGTTTTCTGGACTTCCATCCAATTAAAGTCTCTCCAAATAAAATCACAAACCCAGAACTGGACTTTCTGGTTTGCACATCATTGGCATAATCACTGTCAACATAACATTTTAATTTTAACTCTTCAGAGACTTGTATTTCAAGACCCAAATTCACAGTTCCCTTCAAATACTTGAGAATTCTTTTCACACCCATCTAATGCAACTGTGTTGATGCAGCAGTACAGTGACTTAAGATGCTTACTGCACAAGCTATGTCTGGTGGACCATTGTGACAGATATAACAGGCTTCCTATTGCTGACTGATATATCTCCTGATCACAGGCTTCACTTTTGTCCTCACCTAAAGTGTTGTGAAAATTTATGCTCATAGGTGTTGGAGCAGAATTACAATCCCTCATGTTGTATCATTCCAACAGCTGTTCAATTTTCCTTCTTTGACTGAGAACGTAGCCATCTTTCTCAGTTTTTTTTTGTATCTCTGCACCAAGATAGTTTTGTATTTCACCCAGACTTTTCAATTCAAACTTTTTCTCCAGTTGATTAGCAAATTCCTTCACCTATGCTAGATCCTTTGCAATGAAGCAAAGATAATTCATAAACGCTAATAATTGGCAATCCCCACTGTGAAAC